AGGAGGAGGGAGAGGGAGGGAGGGAGGAGGGGAAGGAAGGAAGGAAGGAAGGAAAGGAAGGAAGGAAGGGAAGAATGGAAGGAAGGAAGGAAAGAGGGAAAGAAAGGAAGGAAAAAAGGGAAAGGAAGGAGGCAAAGAAATGGAAAGAAAGAAGGAAAGCAAAGGAAAAGAAAAAAGGAGGGAGGGAGGGAAGGAAGGAAGGAAGAAGGAAGGAAGGAAGAAGGGAGGGGAGGGAGGAGGGAAGGGAAAGGAAAGAGGGAAAGAAAAGAGGAAAAAAGGGAAAGGAAGGAGGAAAGAAATGAAAGAAAGAAGGAAAGAAAAGGAAGAAGGAGGGAGGGAGGGAAGGAAGGAAGGGAGAAGGGAAGGGGAGGGAGGGAGGGAAGGGAAAGGAAGGAAAGAGGGAAATGAAAGGAGTGAAAAAAGGGAAAGGAAGGAGGCAAAGAAATGGAAAGAAAGAAGGAAAGCAAAGGAAAGAAAGGAGGGAGGGAGGGAAGGAAGGAAGGGAAGAAGGGAAGGGGAGGGAGGGAGGGAAGGGAAAGGAAGGAAAGAGGGAAATGAAAGGAGTGAAAAAAGGGAAAGGAAGGAGGCAAAGAAATGGAAAGAAAGAAGGAAAGCAAAGGAAAGAAAGGAGGGAGGGAGGGAAGGAGGGAAGGAAGGAAGAAAAGAAAGGAGGAAAGGGAAAAATAAAGAAAGAAAGACAGAAAGGTAAGGAAGGTAAAGAAGAGAGGGAGGGAGGGGAAGGAAGGAAAAGAAAGGGAAAGGAAGGAGGGAAAGAAAGGGAAGAAGGAAAGCAAATGAAAGACAGGAAGGAAAGAAGTGAAGGGAAGGAAGGAAGGGAAGGAGGGAAGGAGGGAAGGAGAGAGGTGGGAAAGGAAGAAAACAAAGAAAGGAGGGAAGGGAAAAAGAAAGAAAGACAGACAGAAAGGGAAGGCAAAAAAGGAAGGGAGGGAGGGGAAGGAAGGAAAAGAAAGGGAATTGAAGGAGGGAAGAAAGGGAAGAAGGAAAGCAAATGAAAGACAGGAAGGAAAGAAGTGAAGGGAAGGAAGGAAGGGAAGGAGGGAAGGGTAAGTGGGAAAGGAAGGAAGAAAGCAAAGAAAGGAGGGAAGGGAAAAAGAAAGAAAGGGAAGGAAGGAAAAGAAGGAAAGGAAGGAAGGAAAGGAACAAAGAAAGGAAAGGAATGGGAAGGGAAGGGAAGGGGCTTGAGGCCCAAAGGCAGCCTGGATGGGAGGGCCCAAGCCTTGGCTCCAGAAAGACTGGAAAGCCCCCCCCCCCAGCCCCAATTGAGACATCAGAAGGAGATTTGCTTCTGAGGAAGAGGACCATTGATACCTCTCCAGGTGTTTAAGATCTAGTCAGGGTGGTGCTGTGGTTCTGGAATGTTTTGATGCATTTCATTTGAGTGCGGTTTGCATTTAAGTCTATTTGAATGTTTGCATGTTTTCAAATTGTGTGTCTGCTGATGCTGCTTTTACGCCAAGCTGCTTTGAGTCCCCTTTGGGAGAGAGAAAGTGGGATATAAACAACAACAACAACAACAACAATACTATGCATGAGCTGCAGCTCCTTGTGCAGGCCTGGGCCAACTTGGGCCCTCCTTCCAGGTGTTTTGGACTTCAACTCCCACAATTCCTAACAGCCTGACCTCTTGGGGGGAAAGGGAGGCGCAAACTCTCCCCACTCCGACAAACAGGCAGACCTTTTTGCGACATTGACTTATCTTCAGTCCCCCGCCTTTACAAAAACCAAAGAGAGGCCCAGAAGCCTCTCTCAATGGGGGAAGAGAGAGAGGGGGAGACCCCCTTTCCTGCCCCAAGGGAGGCCCAAAGGGGGGGGGTCTTCTTTCCCATTGAAGCCCTGGAGGGACTTCCTACCCGACATATAAACAGGCAGACCTTCCTGTCATTATCTTCATTGCCCCCTTTATACAAACCAAAGAGAGGCCCAGAAACCTCTCTCAATGGGAGAAGAGAGGGAGACCCCCTTTCCTGCCCCAAATAGAGGCCCAAGGGGTGGGGGGTCTTCCTTCCCATTGAAGCCCAGCCCTGGAGGGACTTCCCATCCAAGAAACAAACAGGCAGGCCTTCCTGCAACATTGTCAATATTTTCATTGCCCCCCTTATACAAACCAAGGAGAGGCCTAGAAGCCTCTCTGAAAGGGAGAAGAGAGACCCCCTTTCCTGCCCCAATGGAGGCCCAAAGGGGGGGGGGGTCTTCTTTCCCATTAATGCCCAGCCCATCCGACATACACAGGCAGACCTTCCTGCGAAGCTGTCAATATTTTCACTCCTCCCTTATACAAACCAAAGAGAGTCCCAGAAACCTCTCTGAATGGGGGAAGAGAGACCCCTTTTCCTTCCCCAAAGGGGGGGGGGGTCTTCCTTCCCATTGAAGCCCAGCCTTGGAGGGGCTTCCCATCCAAGAAACAAACAGGCAGACCTTCCTGCAACATTGTCATTATCTTCATTCCCCTGTGTATACAAACCAAAGAGAGGCCCAGAAGCCTTTCTCAATGGAGGAAGAACGAGAGAGAGAGAGACCCCCCTTTCCTGCCCCAATAGAGGCCCAAAGGGGTCTTCTTTCCCAGAGAGAGATTGAGCCCCTGACCCAGCCCTGGAGGGACTTCCCACTCGAAATACAAACAGGCAGACCTTCTTCATTCCCCCCTCCCTTTATACAAACCAAGGAAAGGCCCAGAAGCCCCTCTCAATGGGGGAAGAGAGACCCCTTTTCCTGCCCCAATGGAGGCCCAAAGGGGTCTTCCTTCCCATTAAGAGAGAGAGTTTGAGCCCCCGACCCAGCCCTGGAGGGACTTCCCACTCGAAATACAAACAGGCAGACCTTCTTCATTCCCCCCTCCCTTTATACAAACCAAGGAAAGGCCCAGAAGCCCCTCTCAATGGGGGAAGAGAGACCCCTTTTCCTGCCCCAATGGAGGCCCAAAGGGGTCTTCCTTCCCATTGAGAGAGAGAGACCCAAACCCAGTCCTGGGAAGGTTTCCCACCCAAGAAACAAACAGGCAGACCTTCCTCTGACTTTCTCAATATTTTCATTGCCCCTTTATACGAACCAAAGAAAGGCCCAGAAGCCCCTCTCGATGGGAAGAGAGACCCCCTTTCCTGCCCCAATGGAGGCCCAAAGGGGTCTTCCTCCCCATTAAGAGAGAGAGTTTGAGCCCCCGACCCAGCCTTGGAGGGACTTCCCACTCAAAATACAAACAGTCAGACCATTATTTTCATTCCTCCCCCCCCCCTTAAAGAAACCAAGGAAAGGCCCAGAAGCCTCTCTCAGTGGGGGAAGAGAGACCCCCTTTCCTGCCCCAAATGGAGGCCCAAAGGGGGTCTTCCTTCCCATTGAAGCCCAGCCTTGGAGGGTCTTCCCACCCGACATACAAACAGGCAGACCTTCCTGTCATTATCTTCATTGCCCCCTTTATACAAACTAAAGAGAGGCCCAGAAGCCCTTCTCAATGGGGGAAGAGAGAGAGAGAGAGACCCCCTTTCCTGCCCCAATGGAGGCCCAAAGGGGGGGTCTTCCCATTGAAACCCAGCCTTGGAGGGGCTTCCCACCTGACATACAAGCAGGCAGGCCTTCCTGCGACTTTGTCATTATCTTCATTGCCCCCCTTATATGAACCAAAAAGAGGCCAGAAGCCCCTCTCAATGGGGAAGAGAAAGAGAGGAGGGAGAGAGACCCCCTTTCCTGCCCCAATAGAGGCCAAAAGAGGGTCTTATTTCTCACTGATGCCCAGCCCTGGAGGGTCTTTCCACCCGACATACAAACAGGCAGGCCTTCCTGCGACTTTGTCAATATTATCTTCATTCCCCCCTTGTAGAAACCAAGGAGAAGCCTTAGAAGCCTCTCTCAGTGGGGGGAAGAGAGACCCCCTTTCCTGCCCCAAATGGAGGCCAAAAGGGGGTCTTATTTCTCATTGATGCCCAGCCCTGGAGGGTCTCCCCACCCAACATACAAACAGGCAGACCTTCCTGCGACTTTGTCATTATCTTCATTGCCCACCTTATACGAACCAGAGGCCTTAGAAGCCCCTCTCAATGGGAGAAGAGAGACCCCCTTACCTACCCCAAATGGAGGCCCAAAGGGGGTCTTATTTCTCATTGATGCCCATCCCTGGAGGGTCTTCCCACCCGACATACAAACAGGCAGACCTTCCTGTCATTATCTTCATTGCCCCCTTTATACAAACTAAAGAGAGGCCCAGAAGCCCTTCTCAATGGGGGAAGAGAGAGAGAGAGAGACCCCCTTTCCTGCCCCAATGGAGGCCCAAAGGGGGGGTCTTCCCATTGAAACCCAGCCTTGGAGGGGCTTCCCACCTGACATACAAGCAGGCAGGCCTTCCTGCGACTTTGTCATTATCTTCATTGCCCCCCTTATATGAACCAAAAAGAGGCCAGAAGCCCCTCTCAATGGGGAAGAGAAAGAGAGGAGGGAGAGAGACCCCCTTTCCTGCCCCAAATGGAGGCCAAAAGGGGGTCTTATTTCTCATTGATGCCCAGCCCTGGAGGGTCTCCCCACCCAACATACAAACAGGCAGACCTTCCTGCGACTTTGTCATTATCTTCATTGCCCACCTTATACGAACCAGAGGCCTTAGAAGCCCCTCTCAATGGGAGAAGAGAGACCCCCTTACCTACCCCAAATGGAGGCCCAAAGGGGGTCTTCCTTCCCATTGAGAGACATCGAGAGAGGCCTAAACCCATTCCCGACAAATAGGCATCAAGACAGCCCTTGCTGCGTCGCCGACGTCTCTCCCCTCCCCCTCCCCTTCTCAACCCAAGCAGAAGCCCCCAACCTTAGAAGCAGACCCTTCCCTCTCCCAATGGAGACCCCCCCCTTCTCTTCCCTCTTTTCATCTTTTCCCGAGGTAGGCCCAAAAGGGGGGGGGGTGCTTCATTCCCATGTCAGGGTGCGCCTCCCCTTCCCCTTCCCCCTCCCTCCTCGCCCACCCGTGTTCCCCCCTCCCCCCATTGCCGCCCCCTCCTCACCTGCACCCCGGGGGCGAGAGCGAGTGGAAGGTGGAGAGAGAGAACATCTCCGCCCGGTCCGCCATCTTCGCAGAGACAGAGAGAGAGAGAGATGGGGGGGTAGATAAATAGAGAAGGGAGAGATGGAGGCGGGGGGGCGGGGGGGCTGTCTTCCCCTCCTTCACTGGGGCTGGGGCTGGGGGGGCTGCTTCTCCCCCTTCTTGGGGCCCTTCTGTCTCTCGAGGGAGGCGCCGGGATCCGCCGCAGCCATGGCGCACCCGCCTCACCCTCCTCCGCCCCAGAAAAACACCGGAGGAAGGAAGAGAGGAAGAGAGGAAGGGAGGAAGGAGGGAAGGAGAAAGGGAGGAGGGAGGAGGGAAGAGAAGAGGGGGCAGCCAGGCCCCGCCCCTTGGGTGCGGAGGGGGAGGGGGGAGGGGAGGAGGGGGCAGAACACAAGCAAAGGGACACCCCACCCCCCGTGAAACAACTACGACGTCACCGCCAGACCCTCCTTTTTGGGGGGTGGGTGGGGGGGGGAGTCCTCCTCCTCCTCCTCCTCCTCCTCCTGCTGCTCAAGGCAGAGGCAGGCTGGGGCGCTGTCCCTCCCGGGAAGGTGCTGAAAGAGGGCGCTGTCCAGTGCTGAAGGGAAGGAAGAGAGGAAGGAATGGGGAGGATGGAAGGAAAGAAGGCCAGGAGAGAGGGAAAGGAGAAGAGAAAGAAGGAATAGGGAGGAAGGAGGAAAGGGGGAGGGAAGAAGGAAGGAAGGAAGGTGAGAGGGTCGGTATATAAAACCTCGAAATAAATAAATAATAAATAAGGAAGGAAGGGAGGAATGGGGAGGATGGAAGGAAGGAAGGAAAGAAGGCCAGGAGAAAGGGAAAGGGGCAGAGAAAGAAGGAATAGGGAGGAAGGAGGAAAAGGGGGGGGGGAGAGGAAGGACAAGAGGGAGGGAAAGGAGGGAGGGAGGGAGGGAGGAGGAAATAATGGATTGAAGGGAGGAAGGAGAAAGGGGAGAAAAGGAGGGATGGAAGGATGGAAGGCCAGGAGAAAGGGAAAGGGGCAGAGAAAGAAGGAATAGGGAGGAAGGAGGAAAGGGGGAGGGAAGAAGGAAGGAAGGAAGGAAGGAAGGAAGGAAGGAAGGAAGGAAGGGGTGTGAGGGTCGGTATATAAAACCTCGAAATAAATAAATAATAAATAAGGAAGGAAGGGAGGAATGGGGAGGATGGAAGGAAGGAAGGAAGGAAAGAAGGCCAGGAGAAAGGGAAAGGGGCAGAGAAAGAAGGAATAGGGAGGAAGGAGGAAAGGGGGAGGGAAGAAGGAAGGAAGGAAGGAAGGAAGGAAGGAAGGAAGGAAGGAAGGAAGGAAGGAAGGAAGGAAGGTGTGAGGGTCGGTATATAAAACCTCGAAATAAATAAATAATAAATAAGGAAGGAAGGGAGGAATGGGGAGGATGGAAGGAAGGAAGGAAAGAAGGCCAGGAGAAAGGGAAAGGAGAAGAGAAAGAAGGAATAGGGAGGAAGGAGGAAAGGGGGAGGGAAGAAGGAAGGAAGGAAGGAAGGTGTGAGGGTCGGTATATAAAACCTCGAAATAAATAAATAATAAATAAGGAAGGAAGGGAGGAATGGGGAGGATGGAAGGAAGGAAGGAAAGAAGGCCAGGAGAAAGGGAAAGGAGAAGAGAAAGAAGGAATAGGGAGGAAGGAGGAAAGGGGGAGGGAAGAAGGAAGGAAGGAAGGTGAGAGGGTCGGTATATAAAACCTCGAAATAAATAAATAATAAATAAGGAAGGAAGGGAGGAATGGGGAGGATGGAAGGAAGGAAGGCCAGGAGAGAGGGAAAGGAGAAGAGAAAAAAGGAATAGGGAGGAAGGAGGAAAGGGGGAGGGAAGAAGGAAGGAAGGAAGGAAGGAAGGAAGGAAGGAAGGAAGGAAGGAAGGAAGGAAGGTGTGAGGGTCGGTATATAAAACCTCGAAATAAATAAATAATAAATAAGGAAGGAAGGGAGGAATGGGGAGGATGGAAGGAAGGAAGGAAAGAAGGCCAGGAGAAAGGGAAAGGGGCAGAGAAAGAAGGAATAGGGAGGAAGGAGGAAAAGGGGGGGGGGAGAGGAAGGACAAGAGGGAGGGAAAGGAGGGAGGGAGGGAGGGAGGAGGAAATAATGGATTGAAGGGAGGAAGGAGAAAGGGGAGAAAAGGAGGGATGGAAGGATGGAAGGCCAGGAGAAAGGGAAAGGGGCAGAGAAAGAAGGAATAGGGACGAAGGAGGGAAGGGGAAGAAGGAAGGAAGGGCCTGATGGAAGGATGGAAGGAAAGAGGGAAGGAAGGAAGGAAGGGGGAGATGGAAGGCCAGGAGAAAGGGAAAGGTGCAGAGAAAGAAAGAAGAGGGAGGAAGGAAGAAAGGGGGGAGGGAAGAAAGAAGGAAGGAAATAATGGATGGAAGGAAGGAAGGAAGGCCAGGAGAAAGGGAAAGGAGCAGAGAAAGAAGGAATAAGGAAGGAGGGAAGGGGGAGGGAGAGGAAGGAAAGGAGGGAGGGAAAGGAGGGAGGGAGGAGGAAATAATGGATTGAGGGGAGAAAGGAAAAAGGGAAGAAAAGGAGGGATGGAAGGATGGAAGGCCAGGAGAAAGGGAAAGGGGCAGAAAAAGAAAGAAGAGGAAGGAAGGAGGAAAGGGGGAAGGTAGAAGCTAGGAAGGAAGGAAAGAAGGAAGGAAGGAAGGGTGGGAGGGAGGAATGGGGAGGAAGGGAGGGAAAGGTTGGTTGGATGGATGGATGGATAGATGGAAGGAAGGAAGGCCAGGAGAAAGGGAAAGGAGCAGAGAAAGGAAGAATTAGGGAGTAAGGAGGAAAGGGGGAGAGAAGAAGGAAGGAAGGAAGGAAGGAAGGAAGGAAGGAAGGAAGGAAGGAGGGAAGGAAGGAGAAAGGGAAAGGAGCAGAGAAAGAAAGAATAGGGAGGAAGGAGGGAAGGGCCTGATGTAAGGAAGGAAATAATAGATTGAAGGGAGGAAGGAGAAAGGGGAGAAAAGGAGGGATGGAAGGATGGAAGGCCAGGAGAGAGGGAAAGGCACAGAGAAGGAAAGAATAGGGAGGGAGGGAGGGAGGGAGGGGAGGGAAGGAAGGAAGGGAGGGAGGGATGGGGAGAAAGGGAGGAAAAGGTTGGTTGAATGGATGGATGGATGGATGGATGGAAGGAAGGCCAGGAGAAAGGGAAAGGTGCAAAGAAAGAAAGAATAGGAGGGAAGGAGGAGGGAAGGAGGAAGAAAGAAAGGAAGAGGAAGGAAGGAAGGAAGGAAGGAAGGAAGGAAGGAAGGAAAGAAAGAAAGAAGGAAGGAAGCACCTGATGGAAGGAAGGAAATAATGGATGGATGGAAGGAAGGAAGGCCAGGAGAGAGGGAAAGGAGAAGAGAAAAAAGGAATAGGGAGGAAGGAGGAAAGGGGGAGGGAAGAAGGAAGGAAGGAAGGAAGGAAGGAAGGAAGGAAGGAAGGAAGGAAGGAAGGTAGGTGTGAGGGTCGGTATATAAAACCTCGAAATAAATAAATAATAAATAAGGAAGGAAGGGAGGAATGGGGAGGATGGAAGGAAGGAAGGAAGGAAAGAAGGCCAGGAGAAAGGGAAAGGGGCAGAGAAAGAAGGAATAGGGAGGAAGGAGGAAAGGGGGAGGGAAGAAGGAAGGAAGGAAGAGAGGAAGGAAGGAAGGAAGGAAGGAAGGAAGGAAGGAAGGAAGGAAGGAAGGAGGGAGGGGAAAGACTCGAAATAAATAAATAATAAATAAGGAAGGAAGGGAGGAATGGGGAGGATGGAAGGAAGGAAGGAAGGAAGGAAAGAAGGCCAGGAGAAAGGGAAAGAGGCAGAGAAAGAAGGAATAGGGAGGAAGGAGGAAAAGAGGGGGGGGGAGAGGAAGGACAAGAGGGAGGGAAAGGAGGGAGGGAGGGAGGGAGGAGGAAATAATGGATTGAAGGGAGGAAGGAGAAAGGGGAGAAAAGGAGGGATGGAAGGATGGAAGGCCAGGAGAAAGGGAAAGGGGCAGAGAAAGAAGGAATAGGGACGAAGGAGGGAAGGGGAAGAAGGAAGGAAGGGCCTGATGGAAGGATGGAAGGAAAGAGGGAAGGAAGGAAGGAAGGGGGAGATGGAAGGCCAGGAGAAAGGGAAAGGTGCAGAGAAAGAAAGAAGAGGGAGGAAGGAAGAAAGGGGGGAGGGAAGAAAGAAGGAAGGAAATAATGGATGGAAGGAAGGAAGGAAGGCCAGGAGAAAGGGAAAGGAGCAGAGAAAGAAGGAATAAGGAAGGAGGGAAGGGGGAGGGAGAGGAAGGAAAGGAGGGAGGGAAAGGAGGGAGGGAGGAGGAAATAATGGATTGAGGGGAGAAAGGAAAAAGGGAAGAAAAGGAGGGATGGAAGGATGGAAGGCCAGGAGAAAGGGAAAGGGGCAGAAAAAGAAAGAAGAGGAAGGAAGGAGGAAAGGGGGAAGGTAGAAGCTAGGAAGGAAGGAAAGAAGGAAGGAAGGAAGGGTGGGAGGGAGGAATGGGGAGGAAGGGAGGGAAAGGTTGGTTGGATGGATGGATGGATAGATGGAAGGAAGGAAGGCCAGGAGAAAGGGAAAGGAGCAGAGAAAGGAAGAATTAGGGAGTAAGGAGGAAAGGGGGGAGGAAGAAGGAAGGAAGGAAGGGGGAAGGAAGGAAGGAAGGAAGGAAGGAAGGAAGGAAGGAAGGAGAGGAGGGAAGGAAGAGAAAGGGAAGGAGAGAGAAAGAATAGGGAGGAAGGAGGGAAGGGCCTGATGTAAGGAAGGAAATAATAGATTGAAGGGAGGAAGGAGAAAGGGGAGAAAAGGAGGGATGGAAGGATGGAAGGCCAGGAGAGAGGGAAAGGCACAGAGAAGGAAAGAATAGGGAGGGAGGGAGGGAGGGAGGGGAGGGAAGGAAGGAAGGGAGGGAGGGATGGGGAGAAAGGGAGGAAAAGGTTGGTTGAATGGATGGATGGATGGATGGATGGAAGGAAGGCCAGGAGAAAGGGAAAGGTGCAAAGAAAGAAAGAATAGGAGGGAAGGAGGAGGGAAGGAGGAAGAAAGAAAGGAAGGAAGGAAGGAAAGGAAGGAAGGAAGGAAGGAAGGAAGGAAGGAAGGAAGAAAGAAAAGAAGGAAGGAAGAGGGAGGGAAGGAAGGAAGGAAAGA